ACTTAACAACAATGTAATGCTTTAAGAATTTAAAAGAAGATTCGATCTGTACCTCTGTGTAGTCTGATATTAATAAAAATACACAATATCCTATAAAATTAATCTCTTGCTGTTCTCCAACCCCTAGAGAATCATAAACTCTAATATTAACATTACTTTAGACAAAAAAATCAAATGTAATGAAAAAGTTCAAATGTTTTACAGTTGTACAAATGACTCTCTTGTCAGAATTTTAGGCCAAAAAGTCTGCAGTATCAACTGAATCTCCTGTCATTTGTTACTTGATAAAATATTTTTTATGTTTAATAGATTTGCATTGACCTTGAATTCTATTTGTACTAAGTACTTAACTCATTTGCTTTTTCTAGTGAAACATAATTTTAGATTCTGGTATCCCATTAAAGTTGGAAGTAAGGAACATGTCACATTCCCTTCTTGGATTCACTTTGCCAGCCCCAGAAAAAGAAGTGAGCTGCATGTTTGCATACATCATAAAGTTCTCATAATTGAGATTCTCAAATTCTAATCCAAATAAATGAAAACTTTTTAAATAAGAATTTTAAGAACTGCGCTGTTGGTACTTAAGGACACATAGTAACTGCATTGTTAAAGTGCCCGTTGAGTTCATTTCGATTCATAGCGACCCTCTACAGAGTTCCCAAGGAATAGCTGGTAGGTTTGAACTGATGACCTTGTAGTTTGCAGTCCAGTACTTATCCTACAGCACCACACCAGGAGTCCGGGTTAACAAAGATTTGATTTAGAATCCTGTTATCCTGAAATTTTAGTTGAATTTTCAAATGTCTATTGAATAATTTTTTACTGTTTTATGTCGGTGAGAAAGATACATGTAATTCAGTGACATTGTATTCATCAAATTGTGCTGCTATCACCAATTCCAGGTTATTCTACCACTATTAACAAACTTAGTGCCTTTCTTAGTAATTTAAGTTCCTCTAAACCAGAGCTCTGTAAGATTGAAATGTTCTGACCTGTTTGTTGCAGTCAGTCGATTGTGACACATGGTGACCCTGTGTTTTTTTGCTGTAGACTTTATACAGAAGCAGATCCTCAGGTCTATATGTGGCACTGGTACCACTGGGTGGGTTCAAATGACCAATTTCTTAGGTTAGCAGTCGAGCACAAACTGTGCTACTTAAAGCACCTGCATCTTGATCTAATACATTCAAACAGATTATGTTAAAATATTGACTGTAATATATAGTTTGAAATGATAACCCCTATTTCATTATAAATAGCCCTGGTATGGTGCTGTAGGATAAGCACTCGATCAAAAGGTCAGTTTGAATCGCAAAGTTGGTGGTTCAAATTCCTTAACAGCCACTCCTTGGAACCCCTCCCTATACAAGGTTGCTTTGAGTTAGAACCAACTCAACGGTACTTAGCAACAACAATATATCGTTATAGTAGTTGACTTGTATTCTAAAATAAAAATACTATTTCTTAAAACAATCTTAATAGTGTTCCAACCAAACTTTTTTGAGTAGTTTTGGATTGTGACTTGTAGCAGCAAAAATCTGGTGTTTAAATACAAAGAAAGGCAAGCTACCCTCAAAACTTGTTGATTTTTAAGCTTCTTCCTTCTAAGACCTAGTTGACCTCTCATTCATTAAGAAAAAAAGTTCTTTTTCTTTAAGGATAGATTGACTGTTTTTTCTTTTATTAGTAGATGCTACTATTCCTAAAAATGGAGTCTTGGTGTGGCGCTGTGGGTTAATGTGGCAGTTCAAGTTCACCAGCTGCTCCTTGGAAACCCTATACAGGGTCACTATGGGTCGGAACCAACTCAACGGCATGCAACAACAACAACAATTATTCCTTAAAAGGAGTCCTGGTAGTGTAGTGAGTTAGGCATTGGGCTGCTGACCATAAGGTCAGCAATTCGAATCCACTAGCTGCTTTGTGAGAGATTTACAGCCTCAGAAACCCTATACTGGGTCACTGTGAGTTGGAACCAACTTGACAACTAAAAACCACCACCAGCCATCACTATTCCCAAAAGACCTTCACTGCTTTGTTAGAAAGCTTCTAGAACTGTGAAAACATTCTGAAGACGTGTTCTAACTAAAAGCGAACAAAGAGGGGAGGGAGGCATTATAGTCTAAGCAGGAAGACGGCAAGACTATCGTATACCTTCATGATCACACTGCTGCTGCAGGAGAGCAGTGAGAGTGAAGACTTCACTGCAGGATGTCCTGTGAAGCCAGTTTCCCCTTGTCATGTTCTTGCAATGTTAAAGCAATCTTTGTGGTTCTAAAGGCCCAGAAAATGCACAAATTATGTAATTTTCATTATAGTCTACAATATATAATTGTGTCTTAATATTTCACAAGGAAAAATAAACCTTTTAAGTAACTGAACTCTAAGGAGGAGCAAGGAAGGACCAGTATCTTGATAGAATTCACTGCCTCTCCTTTTCTAGTTAACAGTTTCAAGGGAGAGTACTGAAAGTAAATCTATAGTTGGGAGAGATTATTCTGGGTCTCCTCTGTTCTTTGTTGTTGAGAAGCGTCTTTACTAAGTTCTGGGGAAAAGTTTGGTGAACTTGCCTAATATTAAAATGTGATGTAAAAATTTTGTGATTTCGTATATCAAATTCCCTATTGTATAGTAGACTTGCAGGTTTTTAATATTTAGTATGATATCTATCAATAGTCAGTAGTAGATTAGTACATCTGTGCCTGTGCTCAGTCAGTGATGTAATTGTTAGTGATTGTAAAATGTCATGTCAAAGTTGATGGATTGTTTTTCCCCTCAGAATCACCTTTCTCCCAAGTTTCTATTAAGGCCTTTCTTATTAAAACCACCAAATTAGTTATCTGACATCTTACTTATGTATTTTACTCATCCTTTTTCATTGAGCCCTATATGTTCTGTTTCAAATATCCACATTTCTTTCTAATTTCTATTGTTAACACATAGAACACATCTTACTAGGAACTACAACAGTAGTCTTGTAACTGATTTTCTAGTGAACTCTGCTATTTAGGAGGTAAAACTGAAATTTCTTAGCCTGCATTTTGATCCCTTGTTCATGGGGTCACTTGAGTGGGACCAACAGCCACTAACAACTTATACTTAATGTAATTAAAGACGGTACTTTTGTTTCAACATCTTAGAACAATAAGACAACTTTTGAAATTGATTATACTACTTCCTTCGTATCATTTTCTTCAGTACATGGGTGGGAGGAATTGTTTGGTCAGTGAAATTTAGAATGAAGGGTAATAAATAAAGTAAAAAAAGAAATGAATATGGGTGTGGGTAAGCCCAATGAAGGAAGTGATAGAAAAAAGGAGTGTTTGGGAGAAACAAGGGGCCCATGTGACACATGGCTAAAACACTTGGTTACTAACCAAAAGATGGTGTGTGGTGGTGATGATGTGCTGTGGAGTTGGTTACAACTCATAGCAACCCTATATAGGGTTTTTGAGGCTGTAATTCTTTTACGGGAGCAGAAAGCCTCATCTTTTATGACCTTGAGGTTAGCAGCCCATTTCATAACCACTATGTTACCAGAGCTCCAAAAGGTAGTACTTTTTAACCCATCAGCCACAGGAGAAAATGGGGTAGTTGGCATCTATAAAGATGTAGTCTTACAAACCTTATGGGGCTGTTCTATCCTCTAGGGTCATTATGAGTGACTCAGTGGTATTGGGTTAAGTTTGGTTTGGGAGAAAAATAGCAGGGAAGGATTGAAGCAGCCTTTTAAAAATTACTGTTGGTTCTGATTCACTTCCATTATTGTTGTGAAGTGCCATTGAGTCGGTTCTGACCTATAGCAACCCTGTATAGGGTTTTCAAGGAGCGACTGATGAGCTTGAATTGCTGACCCTGTGGTTCAAACCGTCTTTGCAGTCCAGTGTATTAGCCCACACTTCCATTAATTAGTTCTTTAAATGAGGCTATAATTTCACTAAGGTGCACCTGACCCAAGCCATGATATTTTCAGTGACCTCACATGCATGCAAAAGCTGGGCAGTGAATTAGGAAGACCGTAGAAGAACTGATGCATTTGAGTTATGGTGTTGGAGGAGAATATTGAAAGTGCCATGGGCTGCCAAAAGAACAAACAAGTCTGTGTTGGAAGAAGTGCAGCCAGAATGCTCCTTGGAGGCCACAATGGTCAAACTTCGTCTCTCATACTTCAGACATATTGTCAGGAGGGACCAGTTGCTGAAGAAGGATATCATGTTTGGTAAGGTGGAGGGTCAGAGAAAAAGAGGAAGACCCCCAACAAGATGGATTGGCAAAGTGGCAGCATCGATGGGCTCAAGCGTGGCAACAGTTGCAAGGTTAGCCCAGGACCGGGCATTGTTTCGTTCTGTTGTGCATAGGGTCACTATGATTTGGTATCAACTCAATGGCACTTAACAACCACAATAATTTCTCTGCCTATTATAATTTGCCTTTTTGCCTCTCCAGCAAAAAAAAAAAGTTAAAAAAAGAGAAAGGTGAGGAAGGCGTCTCATAGTACCTGAGATTTGCATTCACAAGGTGGGGGACAGGAAAGGGAATAAACTTACTGCATTTCGGATACTGGTTCTTATGGCTACCACACAATGGCGGCTATCCTTGGTTAATTTAGAACTGCACAGACCTACTCCTATGGTCAGTTGTCCATTTTCAGGGTACATAGTGTTAGTTGCTGTTATTTAGCATTTATTTATGGCAGCTGCTTCTACTTGGGGTTTTGGGCACTCAGCTGTTGACAACTTTTTACTTACTGCCTTGACAAGAGTGAAGTTGAACTTGGTTTTAGTAGCTACTTAACCATACTGGGAAACAACTGAAAATAAATGCCATAAATGAAAAACACACGGTTTAATTAAACCTCTTATTACTAGGCCTGCTCCAGAAAGAGCTTAAAAAGCAAGGCTAATGTACCACTTTAAAAGATTTATAGAACACAAGTTGTTATTTAGTGCAGGAATTGCTCAAGTAAGCTGTTACACTAAACTATTATTCTTATTTTGTAGGAAGTTGGTGAGCCATCTAAAGAAGAAAAGGCTGTAGCCAAATATCTTCGATTCAATTGTCCGACAAAATCTACCAATATGATGGGTCACCGCGTGGATTATTTTATTGGTAAGATTATATATAGCAGTAAAATCATTAGTGAATATCTTATGAAGATACCTAAGTTTAGGATTTTAATAAATTTTTGTAGTACTTTCTAAAAGTGTAATTTATGAAGCTGGGTAGTGGGCATGTAGAGATTTATTATCCTGTCTTTTAATGATTGAAAATTTCCATAATAAAAAGATAAAAGTGCTTTCCAATAACAAACATGTATTGGAAATTTAAAAAATAGGATTTATTGTTACACTATCTTTGTTCAGATAGTAAGGTTAATCTTAATACAACTCTGGGTCAGAATTCAGTATGAAGCTGCACTTCATTCTGTTGACATAACCTCAGGAACTTTGGTTCTTTATATTGTCCACACAGCCTCAATATAAGCTAATGTCATCTATAATAGACCCATAGCTTAAGTAGTGGTTGCATTTGCCCTTCTCACCAATTAAAATTGAATTATATGTAGAGAAGAAATTCTTTTATCTTCTCTTTAGTATAGATTGGGTTTGATATCCATTAAAAAAAAGAAAAGAGTAGATACGCCATTCTTCAGATTTAATATGCTTAGCTACCTCTAGTAATGACGATCCAGGTTGGTGCAGTGGTTAAAGCACTCAGCTACTAACCAATAGGTCAGTGGTTTGAATTCACCAGTGCTCCACAGATGAAAGAAACCCTGTAGGGCAGTTCTACTCTATCCTACGATGTTGCTGTGAGTTGGAGTCGACTTAACAGCAGTGAGTTTAATTTGGTTTTTAGTAAGAGCAGGAAGGAGCTCCAGTGAGCTCAGTGGTTAAGTGCTGTGCTACTAGTAGAAAGATAGTTTGAACCCACCCCCTGTGGCTCGTTGGGAGAAAGACAAGTCAATCTGCTACCTTAAAAATTTTTGTTAAATGCCGTCGAGTTTGTTCTGAACAGCATAGGGTTTCTGAGAAGTGACTGGTGAGTGTGAACCATTGATCTTATGGTTCAAACTGACCTTATGGTCCAGTGCTTTAGCCTGCAGCGCCACACCAGGACTTCTTAAAGATTACAGTCTAGAAAATCTCATGGGGGTACGTGTACTCTTATACATGTGGCCCATATGAGATTAATTTATCTTGCTTTAGTTAATAATTATAAATGCCATTTTTCAATCATTAGTTGAAAAAGATGCATATCAGTATGTTTCTCAATTTGAAGTTTTAAGGAACTATTTATTGTGATCATGATAGATTGAATTTTCTACACTACATGTTCCATGAAAAGGCTTTTGCTTTAGTAGTTTTGTCTTTGTATTAGAAATTGAGCATTATTTTGTTTTCTGTTGCCAAAGTGTCAAAGCTTTCTTTATATAATTTGAATTCTATAGACATGAATTCCCAGGTATACTAAATTTCAAATAATTTATTTGTAGCTTCAAAAGCAGTGGATTGCCTTTTGGATTCAAAGTGGGCAAAGGCCAAGAAAGGAGAGGAAGCTTTATTTACAAACCGGGAGTCTGTGGTTGACTACTGCAACAGGTAGTGTAAATAGTAATTTGAAAACACATTCTGCATATTCCTGAAACTCATTAACTATTTTCATCATTAAATATAATGATATTGCAGTATAGCTCAAGCACAGCTTTTATATGTAGCCTGCATTTTTTCAGAACCTCTGGATTTTTTTGTGTGTTTGAATATTGTACTTTTTAATTATAAATTTATTTTTCTGTTCCATTATATTTATACATATGGCAGACCGACCCTCAAAACCCATTTAGAATTCTCTGAATGGTAAGCAGTAAAAATTATAAGCCAGTGTCTACACTGAACAAAAGAGTATTTTCCCCCTAAAACTTTGGCAGGAATTCCTAGTAATTATTGTTTCATGTTTTTTGGTGTACATTCCCTAAGCTATAAGTCAGACACCCTTCTCTGTTTGCTTGGTTAGTAATTGCTAATGCTATACTTCCTTGTAAAATCAAGACGCAGCTGCGGCATCTATCTGTATTTTTTCTTGAGGCTCTAAGATATAGACAGATAATTAATATACACATGATTTTTATAATGGGCACTCTTTAGGGAAAGTCTTTGGTGAGTGGAATGTGTAAAAGACAAAAATCACTTTTTTCTTGGAAAAAGAAATATGCAGATTTTTATTTCAATTATTTTTCCTTTGGTTTACTTAAAAATAACTAAGTAATCAAATGTATTTATTAATACATGTTAACTAAGTTTTGTTTTCATGGTACTAAAGCTTATATTCAGTGAGAATTTAAGATTTTAGGCCTATGTTAGTCAGGAACACATAACATTTACTAATACTTTATTTAATGGCACTGAAAATATCACAGCCACTAAGAGAATAACCTCAAAATCACTGTTCCACACCTGGTTTCTAAAACTATGATGTTAATTATCAAATATTTCTAAAAGTTATTAGCTGTCATTGACTAGAATCACAAATGGACCTTTCAGAACACAGTTTCATTGTTGGAGTAGGGATGAATGAGCTAATAGTGTGGTAGTCAACATTTATCTTTCTTTTACAGCAATTTGTATAATTAAAATTAACCAAAATGCAAACTCTGTCCTCTCTGCCTGCCTCACAATAGATTTTATTTTTATGTATCATGCAAAAATTAAGAGCTCTACAAAATGCAGAAACTGAAGCACAGAGAAGTTGGGTAACTTGTCCTCAGCCTGTTCCCAGGTCACAGAGGAAGTAGAGGTAGAGCTAGGAGGTTAAATGTAGCATCTGGCTTCATAGTTCATGCTCTTAACCACTGCTCTGTGTTGTCTTCATACATGTCAGGTAAATCTGCTTTGTGTTCTTTCTGCATTAAAATAAAGGGGAGAAGCAGAACTAAGAATAGCTTCTAAGACAATCACAGAGGCCCCCTGGTGGCTTGTCCTCATGAGTTCCTGCCCAACCACAGACACAACCTCAACCATCTTCTTAAGCTACTAAGTGGACTCAAGAGAATCTCAGGAATAACAAAAGGAAACAAGAAAATAGTTGATGATACACAATACAGTATTTTCTAGTATGTCTAGAAACAAATGTCTACTATATCTTTTTATAGCCTGTTTCAAGTACAAATTCTTTAACCTTTAATCTTAACCATCCTAGCTCCATATGGTTTCACATTCTCAACCTTTAGTTCATTAATGTCTTTCTCATTCATGCAGATGCCACACTCTTTCTATTTTCTGGTCTTTCTTTCATCATATCCTGCCACTTTGCCTGAATGGTCTCTGTTTTCTATTCTGCCTGTCTCTAAATTTACAAACACTCAATCCTACCTACCAGATCATCCAGCTCACAATAACTTTTGTATCGAAAGTTCCACCAAATTTATATAGTTCATATATCCCACTATCATTTATATAAGTTTTATAATTATTGCATGTAAGTTAATTTTTTCAGCTAAATCTGAATGTTGCTTTAGGAGTACTTTATTGTAATTTCATAGCTAGAATTTTGTTGAGGATTTTTGTGTCTATATTCACGAGAAATATTGGTCTATAATTTTCTTTCTTATTGGTATCTTTTCCGGCTTTGGTATCAGGAATAATTGGAGTGGATTTGGTGTCAACTTTTCTCTGAATGTTGGGTAGACTTGAACCATGACTGTTGGACATGGGCTTTTTTAAGTTGAGAATTTTTTTTTTTAATGACATCTTCAATTTCTTTTTCTGTTATGGGTCTGTTCAAATTTTTTACTACTGTTTGTGTTAGTTTAGGTGAGTACGTGGTGTGTTTCTAGAAATGTGTCTCCATTTCTTGTAGGTTTTCAAATTGGATGGAGTACAGTTTTTCATAATAACTTTCGTTATCAACGTTTATTCTGCTATAAAGTCATTCATATCATTTCTTATTTTGGTTTACATCTTTTTTTTTTTTCTTTGTTAATTTGGTGAGTAGTTTGTCAATTTTATTTATGTTCTCCAAGAATCAGCTTCTCGACTTGTTAATTGTTTTTTGTTTTTCTGTGTTCTGTGTCAGTTTTTCTGGTTGCCTGTGGCTTTTGCTGCTCCTTTTCTGTTTGTTCACGTTGTGGGAATAAGTTGTTGACTTCGGCCCTTTTTTTCTTTTTGATGTGTACTTTTATTACTATGAACTCTCTTTTTGAGCACTGCTTTTGCTTTGTCCTGCTGGTATGTTGTTTTCATTCTCATTTGATTCAGACAATTTTTAATTTCATTTTAAATATCTTCTCTTACCCGCTTGTTTTCTAAGTAAGGTATTATTCAGTTTCTATGCATTTACTAGCGTGACTTTATAGGATAAAGAACTAGACCACAAGGTCAGTTTGAACCTTTTTAGTTGGTGGTTTGAACTCACCAGCCACTCCTTGGAAACCCTTTACAGGGTTGCTATGAGTCGGAACCAACTCGAAAGTATTGAACAACAACAACATTTACTATTTTTGCCTTTGTTTTTCTGTTGTTGATTTCTGGTTTTTAGTGTTGTGATCAGAGACAATGCTTTATATTATTTTAATGTTTCTTAATTTATTGAGAATGATCTATTCCAGAATTGTGCTGCTATTGGGTGGTATGTTCTGTGTCTGAGGTCAAGTTGGTTGATTGTATTATTTAGATCTTCTGTATTATTTAGCGCTTCTGTATATTTGAGTTTCTAGTTTATGCCCATTGTCAAAAGTGATGTGTTAAAGTCTACTACTGTTGTTGTCAAGTGCTGTCTAGTCAGTTCTGACCCATAGCAACTCTTTATAGGGTTTCTGTGGAGTTGGCTGGTGGGTTTGAACTGCCGACCTTGTGGTTCAAACTGACCTTGTGGTCTAGTGCATTATCCTGCAGCACCACACCAGACTGCCAGTTTCTCTTCACTTTTGTTAAAGTTTGTTGCATGTATTTTGGAGCTCTGTCATTGGGTGCATAAATATATATTATGATTATGTTCGCTAACCTTAATAAATATGGTTGATAAAGGTGGATTGATCCTTTTATCATTGTCTTATGCCCTTTTTTGCCTCTAGTAAAGGATTTTGGCTAAAAGTCTATTTTATCAGTGACTGTTTTTCCCACTCCTGTTCACTTTTAGTTACTGCTTGCATGATACATTTTTTTCCATTCTCTCTGATTGTTTACCTGTTTATGTCTTTGTGTCTGCGGTTTGTTTCTTGTAGGCAACATTTTAATAGGGCATTCAAAAAAATCTTTTATGCTATTCTATGTCTCCTGGTTGGTACATTTAAAGCATTTTGTTTTGCTGTATCAGAAGGGGCAGCTCGGGTGAACTTCACTGATCTTTCACCTTACAACAAGAATATTCACCACCTGCCTCCAAGTGGGTAGAGCAGCAGCAGGCAGGGCGAACCCATGTTACTATTCACTCAGGGTGAGCTAAGCAGGCATTGGCCACTGCCTGTTGGTGGTCCATTGGCATGTGAGTACCTTAAGAGGGTGGACAACTAGGGGGGGGGTACCAGTAGGGTTCCTGCATGCTTGGTGAGTATAGGGGTCAACAAGGGCACTGGCTCACTCCTGTGCTGCTCAGTTGGGCAGGTTGGTGCACAGGCTGTGGGGTTTGGGTGACCTGGGTCTCCATAGCTCTCCAGCACCGCTTAGTAGGTCAGGTGGCCAAGGGCTCTAAAGCATCGCTACTCAGCAAATGAGAAGGGGCGAATCACAGATGAGTGTGGATGGGAGGGAATAAGGAGAAGCTCATACTGTGTCTCTAGTGGGTTAGGGCTGTGAGGATGGGGTGGTTTACCCATATTTTAAAGGTAGGGAGTGTTTGTTCCTTGATTAACTGGCCATTTCCAGTTGTTGGCTGCTGCCAGGAACTAGGACGTGGCCCTCATCAAGTGAAAGGGTGTAGGTACTGCAAGTAGTTCAGTAGGGTGACGGACCTCCTGTTGACACTGCAGATCTATTAATCTAGGTGTACCATGTACTCTTAATTGTCAGGGAGCACTGCTATTATGTAGCCCTGTCTCTGGGTCTTGGCTCTTTTCCCTGCAGGATTCCTAGAGCAGCTCTATCCTGCTTTCCTGTCCTTTCTCTCCTTAGGTCTGGTTTATGCCCTTCTCACCTCACTTCATTCTGGTATGTCAGCAGTTCCTCAGTCTCTTGTTGGGAATTCCATGGAGTTGTCTTTCTGTGATTCTCTTCTGGTATTGCTGCAGGCTTTGTCTCAAGATAGCTATGCTGACTTGGATAGACTGACAGGGTACCTCCTCTTCATATCGCTCCTTGCTTGCTGGGTTCTGTCGGTTTCTTTTTCTATTCCTTTCATTTGGTGCTCAAGTGTCCATGAATGTCGGCTGTATCTGTTCCTTTTTATTTTTGGGGTCTTTGCTGTAGAGGGACAGCAAGATATGTCTGATTACTCTGTCATCTTGGCTCCTCACATCTGCATGTAGTTTTAATATACTTGTATCTATAATATGGAGTCCTGGTGTGGGTACTGTAGGATCAGTACGGGACTGCAAACAACAAGGTTGGTAGTTCAAACCCACCAGCTGCTCCTTGGAAACCCTATATAGAATCATTTTCATTGGAACTGACTCGACAGCCCTTAACAACAACAATCTATAATATGGGAGTCCTGGTATGTGCTGTAGGATAAACTAGACCACAAGGTTGGTTTGAACTACTAGGTTGGTGGTTCAAACCCACCAGCTGTTCCTTGGAAACCCTATACAGGGTTGCTGTAAGTCAGAATTGACTCAACAGCACTAACACCAACAAAAATCTATAGTATGAAGCCAGATTCGAGAGAGAATGTGGAACTAGGAATATTATTGCTCGTGTCAGATGGGACTTGATTGAGAATACCAAAAAGATGTTTACCTGTGTTTTGTTGAGTATGCAGTATGCAAGGACATTTGAATTTGTGCATTGTAACAAATTAATGGATAACATTGCTATTAATGGGAATTCTAAAACATTTCATTGTGTTCATGTGGAGCCGATAACAAGACGTACTCTTTTGAACAGAACAAGGGGATAATGTGTGGTTTTAAATCAGGAAAGGTGTGCATCAGGGATTCTTCCTTTCACCCTACTTATTCTTTATGCTGAGCAAATAATAGAAGAAGCTGGATAGCATCAGGATTGGAGGAGGGCTCACTAACAACCTGCAGTATGCAAATGACACACTTGGCTTGCTGAAAGCAAAGAGGACTTGAAACATGTACTGATGTAGATAAAAGATCACAGCCTTCATTGTGGATTATAACTCAATATAAAGAAAACAAAACTCACAACTGGACTAATAAACAACATTATGATAAAGATTTACATTGTTAATGCTATTGGAAGCAGTAATAAAGAAATCAAATGACATATTGTGTTGAACCTGCTGCACAAGACCTCTTTAAAGTGTTCAAAAGTGAAGATGTCACTTTGAGGTCTAAGGTGCACTGACCGAAATCATGGAATTTTCATTCACCTCATATACATGTGAAAGCTAGTGAATAAGGAAGACAGAAGAATCAATGCATTTGAATTATAGTGTTGGTGAAAAATACTGAATATTTTATGGACTTCCAGAAGAACAAACAAATCTGTCTTAAAAGGAGTACAGCCAGAATGCTCCTTAAAAGCAAAAAGTTGAAATTTCATCTCACATACTTTGGATATGCTATCAGGAGTTACCAGTCCCTGAAGAAGGCATCCTGCTTGGTGCAAAGTAGAGGACAGCAAAAAGAGGAAGATCCTCAATGAAATGAATTTACACAGTGGCTACGTTGTTTCATTCTGTTGTACATAGTGTCACTGTGAATCGGAATGGACTTGACAGCACTAACAACAACAGTAACAACAGAATTGAAATATCTTTAGAGAGAAATTAATGAAATTAGTAATACATAGTGTTTTTGTTTTGCCAAATAATATTGTGCCTTTTTTTTTTTTTTTTCCAATTTGATGCTATGTGAATCCTTTTTAGAGTCCAGAAATTCACCTTTATGTAAGTAATTGATGATCAATTGAAGGTGTTTTCATTATAATGGAAGGCTAAACAACACCATGAATTAGAAAGATAGGACTTCTCGATTAAATTATGGGCACACTTTTAAATGCCCCTTTTCTTTTTGTTTGTCCTTGAATTTGGAACTTCATCAATTGAAGCTGTCTTGCTTACTGTTAATGAGTGTAGAGAAGAGGTTGACATCAATAATCATAACCTTATATTCTCTTATACCTACTTTAAGGTGAAAATTATGTGAACTACACTGAGCTGACAACTTTTATGTAATTATAAAGTTGCCTTTACACACTTTACAAACTGAAAAATGGCAGAGAAGACAGGATACATTTCATTACATACTCATTCTATGGTCTGAGATGTCTGCCTGTTGCACACTGAAGATCATCTGACTACTCTTGGGGGAGTTTTGAGTCTCCCATGGGTTATACCCAATATACTTCAGTAAGTAGTTTGTAGTCTACTTTAGATAGCCTCCATTCATGTGCTCAAGACTTATTTGTTTAATCTTGTATATTTTATCTACTACAAATCTAGTACCATATTGGGCTATTACACTTTTAAAATACTACTATCCCCTTGGCTTTAGTAACACTGTTGTCTCCTAATTTAATAATATTATTTAATTCTCTATGTGTCAGGATTATTATATCATGAATTCATTATGCTGTGATCCCCTGCCTTCTTTTCCACCCTTCTTTGCAGTCGTAGCCTTTCAGAACCAGCTGACGTTCTATCTTCTCCAGGAATCCTTTCATGACCTCTTTCCTCCAGTCTCCCAAATCAGCGGTCGGGATGTAGCTGAAGGACAGTTGGGGCACAGATACTACGATGTTGAAATGTTTCCTTTTATACTTCGAAGGAAGCAGAATGGAAGAATGAAAGCCATGATTCTCATTTTGAAATCTGAGTAGTGGGGAACTTGATCACTTCACTTCTCTTCTCCATCCCATATTTGATGACACTAAAATTCAGAGATGATCAGGAAAGAACCTGGTGATGCATACTTTATTCTTATTAGTATAAATAAAAACTCCATTCTTAATGTTGTTCTGGAGTGCCATCAACTTATAGTCACCCCGTGTAGGGTTTCCGAGACTTTTAAATCTTTGCAGGATCGTAAAGCCTCATAGTTCTCCCATGGAGCAACTGTGGCTCAAACGGCTGACCTTGTGTTTCACAGTCAAGTGCTTATTTATGGAGCCACTGTGCTCCATGTTTCTATAGAAATTGAAATAATACATTAACAGTGGGGTTTTTTTGTAGTTGTTTTTTTTAAGCTATGAGTTACTATAAATATAGGTAAATTAATTGATTTATTATTAGATTTTATAGTGTAGATTATGATCATTATACAGTCATCCTAATATAGTTTCAGTATCGATTTGTTAGCATACAATCATTATTAGGCATCTTTTTATTATTATTATTTGCATTGTTATAAATTCATGTCCTTTGTCTTAGTATATATTTTCATAATCATATTTTGTGTTTCTTCTAATTCAAAGAATTGGAGTTAAAGTTAACTGTAAACATTCTGTAACCACTTCTGTAGACCAGTAACGATTTATGTTGATGGTAACTAAATGAATATGAGTCAATTTCATGTTAACCTTAATAGCATTAAGTGTGTATATCTAAAGGGAAGAAGAATAGCCTTATTTAGAAGTTGATTTTTTTTTTTGTAGTTGTTGTTGTGTGCCATCGAGTCGATTCCAACCCATAGCGACCCTATATAGGGTTTCCGAGGAGTAGCTGGTGAGCTAGGTTGAATATTTTTCCAGGGACTTACTTGTAATTTCTTTTGTGAGTTGCCAGTTTATGTTCCTTTGCTCATTTTATCGGTGTCTTGACGTGTTTCTTAGCCTCTGTAAGATCAGCTGTTCAAACTCACCAGGTGCTCCTTGTAAACCCTATATAGGGTCACTATGAGTTTGAATTGACTTTAAAAACAACATATTGATAAAGTTGATAAGGAATATACTGTCATGATATCTTTTCTTTCTAAGGCTGTTAAAGAAGCAGTTCTTTCATAGAGCGCTAAAAGTAATGAAAATGAAGTATGATAAAGACATAAAGAAAGAAAAAGAGAAAGGAAAAGTAGAAAGTGGAAAAGAAGAAGATAAAAAGAGCAAGAAGGAAAACACAAAGGATGAAAAGATGAAGAAGGAAAAAGAGAAAAAGAAAGATGGTGAAAAAGAAGAATCCAAAAAGGTGAGTAAAAATGTAAAAATCCTACAAGTAAATAATCAGCATCAGCACATGTGCACTTTTGAATTATTTGGCAACAACCACTTAACGTAAGCCTCTGTAAGGATTACTACAAAAACCCTGGCTGAGGAGTTTGGTTTGTATGAAATGTCAGTGAGACCGTTACACCATATGAATATCATTGTTTTTTACGTGTTTATGTTTTCCCTTTGAATAAAATAATATATTTGTTTTCTTAGGAGGAAACTCCAGGAACTCCCAAAAAGAAAGAAACTAAGAAAAAATTCAAGCTTGAACCGCATGATGATCAAGTTTTTCTGGATGGAAATGAGGTGAGAGTAGATAATCTATATTTTAAAATGCAGATTTCAGTAGGTTTAAGGATCGTTTTCTTGTTTCTCTAAGAAATTATATAAACTTAACCACACACTTCAGTATATGCAAAACTACTTTTAAAACCAATTTTTTTGAATTTGTTTTTTTAGAAATATGATTCTCTGTCACTTCAAATAAGGTTCAGCTGTGAGTGATTGTTGCTATTAAGTACTGTGGAGTTTGTTCCGACTCATAGTGAGTGACCCTGCACAGGGTTTCTGAGGCTGTAAATCTTTATAGGAGCAGAAAGCCTCATCTTTCTCCCATGGAACAGCTGGTAGTTTCAAACTGCCAACCTTGAGGTTAGCAGCCGATTCGTAACCACTACGCTACCAGAGCTGTGAGTGATAGGAAACCTTAAATAACAGTGGCTTAAAGAAAATAGATGCTCATTTCCTCTCTCATGTCAATGAACTCAAGAAGTGAGCAGTACAGATGTGACGGCTGCATGGTGTCAGGGGACCAGTGCTGCTCTGACCTTTTTGCTCTGAGGCTTCTAGGAAAGGTTACCCTATGGTCCAAGATGACTTTCAGTCTTATATCTGCGTCCAGAAGAGGGAGGGAGAGTTAAGGACACACTCCACAGAGTTGATCATTTCATTTCTTTTTGGATTCCATTAGACAGGTAGGCAAAGTCATGCCTACCTGCAGTAAAGTCTTGAAAATGGTACTTTATAAACTGGGTGTTCATATGCCATTAAAATGCAAGATTTCTGTTACTGTTCAAGAACGAAGGGCAGAGTGGTTGGTTAGTGGTCACCTCTGCCACTTAAAAGGTTAGAAGTGACTTCTTTAGCGGATCTAAAATATTGAATTAAGTGTAATGTTCTAATGTGAGCCTAGAACTTTTAAGCACTGAAGTTTCTTGATTCTTTTAGGTATTTGTGTGGATCTACGACCCAGTTCACTTCAAGACATTTGTCATGGGATTAATTCTTGGTAAGGAACAGGATGTGAATAGCTTTAAAGTACAGTCTCTAAAGTTTAAAAAGGAAAGTAAAAAAATCAGGAATCATAAAGAAATACAGTGACCAATAATCATAAATAATACTTAATCTTGCTAACATTATATATGCTAAAACGATAATGATTATGAGGATTATAAAAGTTGAGAGTAATCAGGATTTAGGAAAAATCAAACTCTGACAGATGATGGATTTCTAGATGATGTAAGTAGTAACACCCATTATTTATTTTTATGGAGGGAGATTTGAAATTGTATTTCAAATATCAAATGCATATACAGTTAGACAAAATATTCAAGAGTGTGTGTTGACATACTGGAAAAAAATTCAAATAGCTCAGTAGACCATATTTAGGAGATTTGGCTTAGAGTTTTTTGGTGGTACAGACAAATCAGTGTTCAACTGCTAGCCAAAGGGTCAAGCAGTTTGAAATCTGCCCAGAGGTACCTCGGAAGACAGGCATTGTGCTCTGCCTCTGAAAGTTCACATCCTTGAAAACTATATGAAGCCCAGTTGTACTCTTGACACACATGGGGTTGCCGTGAGTCAGAATCACCTTAACAGAATACCTTTGACCTAATAATTTCATTTCAAGGAATTTTTTTGTGCTGTAAATTATATAGTTACACAAATGTACTTGTTTTCTACAATTACAAAGGGGTCTTCGTTGCATTGTCTGTAAAATGGTAAGACTGGAAACAATTGAAGGCCTTCAATAGAAGAATGAAATAAATTGTAATACAGTTGTACAATGGAACCATATCTTTTAGAGAAGTAGGTCTAATTTTAATAGAATTGATATTATTTGTGTCTTAATTAAATCAGTCAATTCAGTTCCAACTAATAGCAACCCTAACTGCCCGGTCCTGCTTCATCCCCACAGTACATCACTTACCTGCATATTTAATCCCTTAACTAAAGAGTTTGCATGTGTTTCATTTCATCCTCACAACAGATTTTTATTATTGCTCACTTATTTAATGTAACTTAAAGGAAGAGGTGAAGTAATTTGCCTAGGGGTACTCGACTTACAATGAATGATAGGACTAGAATTTGAATCCTAGAGTTTCTCTTACTCCAGAGACCTAATAACCATGCTTCAAATTTCTGTGCATTTATTCTTACATGTATTGTTGGTAATAATTATTCTTCCATGTGGCCCCACCTTGGTTGAAGCACACACATACACAAAACCTGGAAATACGTACAGTTTCACTGACTTGTTATCAAACAACCATCTGTACCAGCATCACTTGGAGAGCTTTTTAAATCTATAGATGGCAGAGCTCCACTCCAAAATTTCTGGGGGTGGGGGACTTGGAATCAGTATTTTTGGTTGGTTTGTTTTGATTGTTTATGTAAGCTCCCCTAAGTCAATTCTTAAAACCTTTTAACAAGTTTAATCAGCCCTATATCCTCAGGAGGATGCTGGCCACCTGTTGGATTTGTCAACTGTGTGTGAGGCATTCTAGTTGTAATTCCTTTATTCTTCACATGAATATCATCTCTGGTTTCTTCTGATTTCAAAGTTGTATAGTTAACTCTTCAGACAGTAAAAGAATCTTAAGACATAAGATGATATTTGATCAAAAATATTTAAAAGTACTTTTTTAAACCAATATTGTTGCTTTTGTCCTTTAAAAATAATTTGCAATTGCTTTTATACTTTTGGAATAAGAAGTTTCCTGGATCCTCTGTTACTTCACTCTTCTAAGTAGTTTTGAAGACGTCTTAATATTCAAAACATAAGCTAGACATTACAAGAAAACAATTGCAGTCAATGATTTAAGGAGATGTTTAACACAACTGAGGAGTAACTTATTCCACAAAATTTCTAATTTAATTTAAGAACAATACTTAACACAGTAAGTTGCCCTTTTTTGTGGCTCATACAAGTGACTATTTTATGTTTTAATCTAATATTTCACAGTTTTTCCTTAGGAATGTGTTCAGTGGTATTGTACTATGTGACTTTATTATTTGTTGTTCCAGTGATTGCAGTCATAGCAGCAACTCTCTTCCCTCTTTGGCCAGCAGAAATGAGAGTAGGTGTTTATTACCTTAGTGTGGGCGCCGGCTGCTTTGTAGCCAGCATTCTTCTTCTTGCTATTGGTAAGTGTTATTAGTATAATTGACCTCAATAAAGTAGGTAATTTTGGACTTTCTCAATTGAAATTGGAAGACCAATATGGAGCTTCAGTAAACTTCATAGCAAAGTTGTAGGTCAATCAAGACGTTAGTTACACTAAGTATATATATATAGGCTTTTTGTTCAAATTACAAAAAAAAATGACCCAAACTGAATGAGTTGAACATACATACTTTCTTGAGTGGGATCAATCTGAAGGTAAAGGATTAAATAAATCTTAATCTAAGGAGCTCTGGTAGCGTAGTGGTTACGAATCGGGCTGCTAACCTCAAAGTCGGCAGTTCGAAACTACCAGCGGTTCCGCAGGAGAAAGATGAGGCAGTCTGTTCCCGTAAAGATTTACAGCCTTGGAAACCCTGTGTAGGGGTCACTATGAGTCGGAACCGACTCCACGGTACTTAACAACAAGAACATCTGTTGCACATGTAGTCCTCATGTGGCTCTTTAGGATAAGCACTTGATTGCTAACCACACAAGATTGGTGGTTCAAACCCACCAGCTGCTCCTCAGAAACGCTTATACAAGGTTGCTATGAGTTGGAACCAACTCAGTGGCACTTAACAACAACAAATCTAATGTATATAGATGTGCTTTATTTTAACTGTGTTATGAAACATAGTTTCATTGAGTTGTAGAACGTTCTCACATTGGACTTATGACTAATGAAACTAGTTCCAGGTCAGCTAAGGTATTAAGTAGGGTTTGTTTGTTTTTGTATTTTTTAACAGCTAACAAAACGTAAGTGAATGTTTTTCACATTTCAGGATGATTGAGGTCTTATTTAAAAAATTAAAAGGTGATCTTCAAAGATCTGACAGTATAGGCTACAGATTAATATTCTTGTTTATTCATAGACATTGATAAGAAAAACTCTAGGCCCCTAGGATTTAATTACAAAGGACATGCAGACCCAATTCAGAAGAGGAAATACACGTCAAATTAGTAATAAATACATTTAGAATGTTTATTGCTAGTAATCCATAAAATCAAAATGAGATGCTTTTCTATTTAGAATATGTTTGTTTTTTTCTGTTTCAACCTTGAGATTCTGCTATTGTGTACAAGAGTCAGAGTATATTCTCTTAGGAAAAGAAGAATAGCTACTTTATTAAATTCAAGGCAGTTATTGCCGTTTCCTTTGAAATGTAGCTAGAGCGGAATAGTGCAAGAAATATAGATGAACTTTTCTAATCTTTATATAAAAACAATGCTTTTATATAACAGACTTTGAAAACAAAAGTCTGTTAGTAAAACAATATTACTCATTATGTGATCTATACAATTTGCAAATTAAAACTGTAGACTAGTGTGGTAAACCATTTTTACAAACTTTATTTCAGCCTACTTAATTCTTCCATTGTTTCCATTAGGACAGGTTTGTCTTAATATATGAGGGGGCTTCAAAAAGTTTGAGGAAAAATTCCATATCTTTTCTTCCATTTTCCCATGAATTTTTTGTGAAGACCTCTCATAAACCTTATTTTTTTAAGGGATTTGGTTTTCATTAGCCTTGTATTGTTACCTAACATTGGGTGAGGGTGGGTCCATAAATAAGCCAATAGTATTTTCTTCAATAAACAAAAATTGTCACCTTAGGAAAATGTTCTCATTGTTCAGAATGTTTTTACTTAAAAGATACAGTGCCGTTTTTAAGATGGAAACTTAACTAATACATGCATCCTTTATATCAGCATCGACTCATCCTTTACACACAGTGCTTCAGGCTCACAGTACTTCCAGGTAGCCATTGAAATGCTTTTTTATTTCTTTCAAACTCAGAAGAATAAAATTACTATGGCACTAATGTATATATAATAATGAACCTAGGCTGGATTACATTTGAGTTTTTAAAGGCTTAATTCCTAAGGTATCCTTGATCTATTAATTCACATTTACATTTTTTTTACCAAGCTCTCATGAATATTTTCTTCCAATTGACTGCTCTCTGTTTTCGCAGCATAATACAGCAAGGTGTTTAATAGAATATATATCGATGAAAGAAATTTACTAGAATATAAGGGTAATGTTTTGAGAATGACATAGCTTTGTGCGCTCAAATTCAGAGCAGGATGCTCTTTCCATAGAATACACTGTGATCCCTACTTGACTAGTCAGAATATAAACATTCATATTTAAGATATACTGTACAAAGGAGCCCTGGTAGTACAGTGATTTAAGTGCTCAGCTGTTAACTGAGTTAGAACCCACCAGCCTCTCTACAGGATAGAGATGTAGCAGTCACCTTCCATAAAGATTACAGCCTCAGAAACCCTATGGGTCTCTGTGAGTCGGAATTTAACTCAGCTGCAGTTGGTTTGTGTTTGGTAAATGTTTGTGTGAATAATAAACTAAACGTTTCCCAGTTTTTTCCTGATAACAGTTATACCCTATCTGGATCAGTGCTTGAATTACTCATGTAGAGAAACTTTTCTCCCCACAGCTCGTTGCATTCTGTTTCTCATCATTTGGCTCATAACTGGAGGAAGGCATCACTTTTGGTTCTTGCCAAATCTTACTGCTGACGTTGGCTTCATTGACTCCTTCAGGCCTCTGTACACACATGAATACAAAGGACCAAAAGCAGACTTAAAGAAAGATGAGAAATCTGAAGCTAAAAAGCAGCAGAAGTCTGACAGTGAGGAGAAATCAGACAGTGAGAAAAAGGAAGATGAGGAGGGAAAAGTAGGACCAGGAAACAACGGAACAGAAGGTTCAGGTGGAGAACGACATTCAGACACAGACAGTGACCGGAGGGAAGATGACCGATCCCAACACAGTAGTGGGAATGGGAATGATTTTGAGATGATCACAAAAGAGGAACTGGAACAGCAAACAGATGGGGATTGTGAAGAAGAGGAGGATGAGGAAAACAATGATGGAGATACAACTAAAGCTTCCCATGAAAAATCATAAACTTAATATACTCTTGGGACTGGAAAAATGCAAGAGGTTGGATTTTCTATGTTGGTCGATCATCAAAATTATACATGTGGTATTTGTAGCATCTTTTAAATCCATTTGCTGAAATGAGTTCTATTCAGTTCTTCGTGTTACAGACTACTATTACTGGGTGCACTCTAAAGCCATTAAAACATACATTTTATCCATTTGATAATTTCACAGTAAGCAGGCATCATTCCTTTTGATAGTTATCAAAGATGCAGTTTTCACAATGACATTTAGATTAATGACATTTTTAATAATTGTATGGCTTTTTACTGTTAGACTGATCAGAATAACTTTTAAAAGTATAAAAGAAAGACCAACATTTCAGATTATGCACAGTTATGTAGCCGTTTCACTATTTCTTTAAGATGAAATACATAAACTCATTGTTCTCTTGATAATTACACTTTGGTTTTTAATTTTACACACTAACCAGGAAATTTCTTTGTTGTAAGATTCTGAGTGAGCAGAGTTCAAGAGCATTTTGTGAAAACATGCCAACTAGAAATAATGCAGCAACACTTTATAGTTTAGCTACAAATTATCCTTTCCAACTTAGGAAATCCAAACTGGTTTGTACATCTGATTCAGAAAAAAAAGATGGTCATCACCAACAGAATGCGATGACCCTTCCTCTCCTTCCCCATATCCTTGTCGTAACATAAAATGTATTCTGTACATAAATTACAAATAAACATTTTATTTTAATTGTTACTCATTATTTAGACATTGTCTCAACACTTAAATTTGTAAAATTAAAACCATGTAAGGGTATGTTTTTAGAGAAATGCAAGTTTCAATAACCCACAGAACATCTGTGATCAATCTTTCTACAGCAGCTTCAGTTTTGTGCCAACATTCCATGTATTTGAATGAGTGAAAACTGATCCTTATTAAATAAGAGCAGATTTAAAGTAGTTGTTTGTATACCTTAATGTTCATTTTGATTTATTTTAAACCTCTGCATTCAGAAATGGAGTACTGTATTATCAAACCAGAGGCACTGCTGTGAAAGATTTACTGTTCTAAAATATCAATTTAAAATAAAGAGCATAAGAGAATGACCAGACTCTAATTGCTTTGAACTAGTTTTGCAGTTCAATTTTATGTCTTGTGTACTTACGGTTTTTGATTTGTTTTTCTTGTGTTTACTTAAGAGAATTTTAAGATCATTCCTTGGAGTTACTCTTATGAACTGATAGTGAACATAAAAATTATTTTCTTCTTTCAGTCAAAGTAAGAGTATTTTGCTTTGTAGTTGAGTACGTGGTATGTATAGGTTTTTATTTTTCTTTAGGCTGTTTCCCATCATTGTTTTGACTAAAGATGTTAAATTTTTCTAATTGTGAAAAAATACATTTTCTGTAAATTAACACTTTTATTAAATGTGGCTTAATTGCTTCTTTATAGTATTCCTTGTAAGTGGACAGAAATGTGGCTAGTCAATGTTGATGCAACTCTAGCAAGGTTATAATCAGCTATTTTAAGAATTTTCCCCTTAGCAAATGCTTATTGATTTAAGGGACTGGGTGTTTTCTCCTCACATTTGCAGAACACTGTTGCTTATTTCCACAGTAAGGATGTGTGTATTTATAGCTTCTGAACTTAATCACCAGTAACAATATCTATTTTGAGGTATGAAAATGGTTCCAGAAGTGTTTTTCATAAATAAATGGTTTAGTAACCTTTGCTACTATGGTACTGCCACGTTTTCAATATTTATCCTAAAGCTTGCTATAATCTGTGTACTGTGTCTAGTCATTTGGAGCATGGCAGTCGGGATAGTCAGCTTCTTATTGATGTTTATAGATTCTTACAGAGTGTTAATACAAATTTATATAAATAATTGGTGATCGCAGGGGAGGAAATGTCACTATTCTTTCTATGAGTAAAAAGTGAGCTCAGTGTCTATTTTAATATTCGAGGATGTGTACTTTAACCAAATACATAAAAATCAAAAGGCTGCTGCTAGAACAGCCCTTTGAAGAATAGGCACCTGTTTTCATTGGCTAACATTAACTATTTTGTGCTGAAGCATGAATTGTTTATATTAGTCAGTGGAATAATGTTTTTTAAAAACTTCAGGTTGGCTATGCTACTTATAAGTAGAAACATGAAGCTTTGGATAATGTAGGATTTTTTGTGTGGAGTGGGTAAGTAAGCAAGATTGGATTACATAGGAACACTCATGCATATGTGATTATTCTTAAAATCAATGTATCAAATAGAATGTCTTTTCCCTTCCCCTGAATTTTTACTTATTTTCAAACTCTTAAGTCCTTTTCTAGATGACTTTAACTGAAATAATTCATATTTAGAAGAATGCTATTAAGAACGTAATAAATACTAATATACTTAAACTAAAGTTATGTAGTACTGATGGGTTTTGGTGTCTGTGCCCCCCACCCCCACCCCCGCAGTTAACTGGTGACTATGGAAGAATCATATGTTGTCTTTGTAAATATTCTTTTTTTGAATCTTATTTCTATTAGGAACTGGAAAGCAGCAAGTACTCTATTATACCTTATCTACAGAACAAAATTCATTATGAATACTCCAGTATTTGAGTAATTTTTTTTTAACTTTTTATTGTGAATTGAATGATAGTTTACATGGGAGAACATCAATTTTACATTCATCCTATCGTATTTTGTTTCATTGCAATGACTGCAATCCCCTCCATGCATTACCTGCCTCTATTTCCTCTGGGTTGTTTTTATGATATACACCAAAACACTCAGGAATATACAATCATCCAAACAACCAAAGGGCATACTCCGCAAGCCTGCCCCCTGACTGCCAGCACACAGCCCCTCGCATTCCATGAGTCTAGAGCCTTCAGAAGCTCTCTTTCTCTCCTTGTCTTCATGTCTGCCTCCATCTCTGGTGTCATTGCTTCTCTGGATAGGGTCCCACATTCCACGTTTGCTCTTCTCCCTGGATGGTCCCAGGGTCCTCTGTTCCTGGGATGTAAGACAACTACATCTTTTACTACGTAACTTGAGTGACATTTTAAATGCCCATTCTGAAAGTACTTCGTTTCTAATTGTGTATACTACTAGATGGTTTGCTTTTATTCTTCACTTCAGTAATACTTCATCTCTGTTTACTCATTCATTCCTGCTTGCTCATTCATTCCATGTTACTGACCACTTGCCATGTGCCAGAATTTTACTAGGCATAGTTATCAATGAAAAGATACCGTTCTACCGTTGTGGAGCAGCAAGTAGATTTGTCACAGGTGCTCTCATTCAGCCCTCCAGATCCACTCTAAGGCTGACCTGAATGGACCACAGCAGTGGGCTCTGTGACTCAGGCCCAGAACTGTCCTGTGCACAGAGCTGAGTTGTGCAGTAGTGTTTATTCTCTTGACTGTCCAAGAGTAGTCAGTCACCACAGCTCCCAAACTGCCCTCCACCACTTTGAAAGTTAACCACTCCTTACTTTTCTTCACTCATGGCCAAGTAATGTCCATGCAACTACTATTAGTCTTGAGTTGCTAAATCTACTGTGCTTCTCCTACATTCATTCCTGTGTGTAGTATCTCTTTAAAATACCTTAAAACCACCTGTTACTAGAACTCACGTAAACTAGTGAGAAATTCCTAGATAAAGAATTCTAGTGAGGGAGCATACCTCTTTTCAACAGTTTCTTGTCGCCAAACACTAGAGGAACTCTACAACCTTACAGAATCTTCCATAAAGAGTTTTGATAGCCAGAATATACAGTTGTAGTAGATATGTATACTAATAATTACAAAAAGATTTCAATTTGTTTTCTTTGGCAAGCCCCTGCAGTGTGTGCAGCATTTAGTTGTGAGATTCTGGGTAAATCAAATGCAATACTTCACTTTTCCCACCTAGCCTTATATGTCTTTTCCATCTAGACGACATTTTCAACCTTAGAGAGGACATCTTTTCTTGAGTTGTAGTTTTAGGGTTGTACAAAAGACTCATGATCTCCATCCTTAGTGTGACAGATTGAGAGGGAGACAGTGGCTGGGGGTGAGACCATCACACTGTTTCCTAGATTGATTGCCTAGATTGCTTGAACTTTGTACCATAGAACCCTTAGAATGATTTTACAGAAAATACATGAGATTACAAGGAAAGCAAATTGAAGGATAAGTTATCAAAATATGTATATTGGTGATACAGTAATATACATGTGCATTATATAATCTGATCTAGAGTGGGTTTAATAATTGCTATGACTTTGGAGTACCATAAACAATATGTTGAGATCTTTACAACTGTATTGTAATCAAAATCTGTTGACAAAGTCACAGTTATCATGAATACAATGTTAGGTTGTCTGCATTTATAATTGAAGGAAATACTTTAAGTTACAGCCTAGTGAAAATAAAGATAGAGTTGTTCCCCCACCCAAGTTCATGTGTCCTCTGAATTTTATCCTCTAATCCCCTTAGAGGTCTGTGGATTTGAAGTTGAGAACCTCTGGCCTAGCTAATCAGAACTGCCAGTATTGCAAATATAACTATATAAGATCATATTTAAGGGCCAACAATACTTAATTAGCATTTAATATTCACATCTTCATTAGCACAAATGTAACAAGTGACATGTGTGAAGTTTTATTTAAGATTATATCTTACTCCTAAACAAAGAGCCAGAGTCTTGGTGTGCCACTGTGGTTAATGTGCTGGACTGCAAGTTTGGTTTGAACCACAAGATCAGTGGTTCAAGCTCACCAGCCGCTCCTTAAAAACCCTGTACAGGGTTGCTATTGGTCAGAACCGACTTGATGGCACTTAACAACAAACAAATATCCAAGAAACTTTGTAACAATTTTAAGTGGGGGAATGAGGCGATGATCTCATGGAGATGATCTCCCAATTGTTAGCTGCTGTGGAGTTGTCCCCCAACTCAGGGCAATCCTGTGTGTTACAGAGAAGTAATCTCTACAAAAGCAGTTCTCCAGACCTGCCTTCTGTGGAGCCACTGGGTGAGTTCAAATAGACAACGTTGAGGTTTGCAGCCAATCACAGACTAATACCATCCAGGTCCTGGCCAATCACAGACTAGTACCAGTATCGACAGCTTTTGCGGAAGGTACAATTTTCTGCATCCGCTCTAGAGGCAGGCCACCTGAAGAACCTTGAAACTGGAAGGTCCCTCTCGTCATTCAGCCAACAATTTATGGAGCCGGGCGTGGTGCTGTGGGTTAATGAACTGGACTGCAAAGTCCGTTTGATCTGCAAGGTTGGCAGTTCAAGCCCACCAACTGCTCCTCAGAAACCCTATACAGGGTTGCTATGGGTCGGAACTGACTTGACGGCATTTTGGTAGCGTAGTGGTTACGAATCGGTCTGCGAACCTTAAGGTCTGCGGTTCGAAACTACCAGCTGCACCGCGGGAGAAAGATGAGGCTTTCTACTCCCGTAAAGATTTACACCCTCGGAAACCCTGTACAGGGTCGCTATGGGTCGGAACCGACTCGATGGCACTTAACAACAACAACAACAACAACCAATGTACCAAACATGAGAATACAAAGACAAGAACCCACAGTAGTCCTATAGTCCCTGCCCTCAAAAGCAAGCTACTACTGACTGTATGCCAACACAAACATGATGCAAGAGAAGATTCATCTAAGAGTTTCAAAATCTGTCTTCTATGAGCTTCCAGCCTGCCTGGGTATAAGGAAGAACAAAACAGAATATAAGTACTTTAGAAAAGACTGGGGAGGCAAAAGGAGAAGGGATTTTACAATTTAATGCACCAGACTGCAAAGCTGTTTGAACTGCAAGGTGATTCAAGCTCACCAGCTGCTCCTTGGAAACCCTATACAGGGTCACTATGTGTCGGAATTGACTCAACGGCACTTAACAGCAAAAACATCACTCCATCACTCCTATTTCCTGGTTCCTTTTAAACATCGACAGGTACTTTCCAAACTAGGATATTTCCCTCTAGGAGTTTACAAATCCACATGAAAAATTACCACAAATTTAAGAGTTGTTAAGTGCCATCAAGTCAGTTCCAACTCATAGCAACTCTGTATAGGGTTCCTGAGGAGCGACTGGTGAGTTTGATCCACT